ATCAAAGTCACATTACCTATTCCACGTTTAATGTATAACACTATACTTTAAGCTATTGCATGCATGTCTATTACTCATTGCATGTCAAAAATATAGAATTTTTAAAAAACAAAAAAAGTATTTACCTGAAAATTATTAATGCATGTTAAAAATAGAGAATTTTTAAAAAACAAAATCCAAAAAAAAGAATATACTAGAAAAGTATTAATCAATTGCTATATCCATCACCTCACCTCAGTGGACTCTTCAACTACTGATTAAACAAGGAAAACAGCAAACAAAAAGTAAAAATATAGGAAAATTTGTAATCATACTTACCAGAATTTGTGTTTCCTGTCCATTTCCACAATTTTGTAGGACTTTGTCTTTTTTTATTATTTTTTCCTGGAAACATCACTAATGTGTCAAACTCCCACTAAGCAGTCGAGACAAGAAATATCAATTAACAAATCTTCCAGTTCTGATGCTGGTCAGAAAACTCAGAAAGGGTCATGCGCGCTGAGCATAACTGCAGTTTGCCCTGCCTGAAGTCTAGTTAACCTCCTCAGGACCCAGGACGGTTCAGGACTGTCATCGGCATTTTTGCATTGCCGACCGATGACGGTCCTGAACCGTCCTAACGGTCCAATGTACTTACCCGATCGCCGTCGTTCCCCCGGCGGCGATCGGCAGTGCTCCCAGTGTGGGGAGACTGCCTGCAGCCCAGACAGTCTCCCCATGGCGGATTAGGACCATTGGGGCCATGTGATCGCTCAACACAGCGATCACATGGTCACAATAGGTGTCCATGTATCTGCCTGCAGGGGGACTGCCTGTGCTGACAGGCAGTCTCCCTGCTAGTGTAAAATCATTTTAAAAAAATGCATGTTAATGTTAATAAAAAAATAATAATTATATATGTGTATATACATATGATATATAGACATATATATATATATATATATATATATATATATCGAGTTTTTTTTCTACAAAGACCTGAGAGTGCATCTCTTTCCTTTTTGCTTTACATATCCAGCGTGGGATTGCACCAAGGCAGTCTTTTATTGATTAATTGAAAGGGTGAGTGCCACTATACTTGTGTATATATATATATATATATATATATATATATATATATATATATATATATATATATATATTATATATATAATGTCATACTAAGTATATTTTTATATTAATATGTAAGTATATTAATATAAAAATACACTTATAATTAAATTACACACACACACATATATATATATATATATATAATATATATAATAACTATATATATATTGTATATAAATATTATTATAAAATACAAATAATAAGTAATTGAAATTAAATAAAAATGTAAAATAATAATAAAAAAAAAAATATATATATATATATCTATTTGAAATTTTATTCTAACTGTATTTTGATAGTAATATATATATTAAATTAGTGTTCAATTTAGTTTTTTACTTTTTTCACACACAAACAAATATGAATGCTAACTTTGGCCAGTGTTTTCGATTAAGTGGCTACTAAAAAAGACTGGACATACCCCATATTGAATGCCCTGGGTTGTCTACTTTTAAAAAAAATGTACATGTGGGGTGTTATTCAGAGATTTATGACAGATAATAGTGTTACAATGTCACTATTGATACATTTTAAAAATTTATGTTTTGAAACTGCAATATCCTACTTGTACCTATAGCCCTATAACTTTAAAAAAAAAGCAAAAAAGCACATAAACACTGCATATTTTTAAACTCGGGACAAAATTTTGAATCTATTTAGCAGTTTTTTTCATTCGCTTTTGTAGATGAGTAAAAGATTTTTCAAGTAAAAGTAGAAAAACATGTATTTCAAAAAAAATTTCATCATTTTTTTTATTTTTTTTTAAAATTAAATTGCATGAGATTATATAAATAATGGTATGTAAAGAAAGCCCATTTTGTCCTGAAAAAAACAATATATAATTTGTATGGGAACAGTAAATGAGAGAGCGGAAAATTACAGCCAAACACAAACACCACAAAAGTGTAAAAATATGCCTGGTCGCAAATGTACAACATCGCAAAAACAGTCCAGTCCTTAAGGGGTTAAACCTGACAATATTTTTTTTTTCATCACTGGTGACTCCACGAGAACCTTGGTATGAGCATTGTCATGATTGATTAACAGAATGCTTTGTGGGTAATTTATTTAGACATATTTAGAATGAGAACAGCATTAATAACAAATGTGAACATTCCAAATGTGCAGTGTCTTTGGATTAACCAAAATGCACTGAAAGTGTTAATAAATTTCTGGTAATATCCCTAGTGAACATTTGTTCCACTAAGGCGCTAAGGATTGAGCAATACCCTTTCCCTGCAAGGTTTCATTTATAGAGAGCACTATGTTTTGAAGTTTTATTTACATGTGCTGCTGCTGAGCACTCCTGATTGAGACATCTGAAAGTGGAATATGTACCATTATTCAAGACTCTATTACTTGTCTGGTGAAGGCCTTACAATCCATAGAGGAGCACATACCATACATCCTTGGGCATGGGTTGTTCCATCCAGGCACAGAATCTCTGAACTGCTGTAAAGCTCTATTAAACGTAAGGGACTCTCTGCATATTTTTGGGTCTCTATACAGAGAGACACTTCACCATTGAATTTTCGATTGTTCCTTTTTGTCTTTCATATACATCTAGTGGAAGTGCAACGATCCATCTACTGTGAACTATGAGAAATTCTTTAGCCAGGAAGAATTACCCGTGGCAGGTTTGTTGCTGCTACATATCTAAGGAAATGATCTAGCGCTTGATCCATTGTTTGTATTACAACAACTGAAGATAGCTGCAGTAAAACCCTGGCAAAGCATCACAAATGAGGAAACCCAGCGTTTGGTAATGTCAATGCGTTTCAGACTTAACATTCAAGGATTCTTGACAAAGTTTTAGAAATTAACATTTTATTTATGATTGTGTACATTTGTCCAATTACATTTGAGCCCCTGGAATAAGACTGTGTATGAAAATGGCTCTGTTTCCTAAATGTTTCATACAATATTTTGTTTAATTCCCTTGAATTAAACCTGAATGTCTGCAGTTCAATTGTTCTCGGTTGTTTAATTTCAAAGCCATTGTGGTGGTGTACAGAGTCAAAATTATGAAAATTGTGTCACTATCCAACTATTTCCGGACCTAACTCAAGCTAAGTTAAAAGTTCACTATGTGTCCAGACTCAGAGACATAGTGTAATTTTGGTGCCATGATTGTCATTATCGACATATTTATGAATTAAAACAGTTTAGAATATGGTGTATCATTAAGTATTCCAGAAAGAAGCAAGGGACATTAACAAATTGCTTCTTAATCATTCAAATTGGAAGGTATGTATTAGAATTGTTTGCTGCCATGGTTGTGAAAAGTTAGGTATTAAAGAGGACCTTGCTAAAGAGGACACCAAACAATGTTTAACACTTACACTGTATTACTGGCATTTATCCTTTCTAATTAAATATCATTCTTTAGAAAAAATTTTGTAAATTAATTATCTAAAGTACAATGTAGTGTTTGCTTTTCTTTGTCTTTGCTTGTATTGCCATAGGTAATGACATTCTCATTCTTTTTTGCTAAGTTTTATTTGAGAGAGAAATTGCTTTGAAAAGAAATTAATTTGCTTTTAAATGCTTTGTGTTTGAATTTTTGAAAATATATACTTGATCAGATGCACACATATATCATGTGTAGTTATTAATACACAAATCCATACTTAACAAAGCCCCTTACTTTTTATTTTTTTCTTAACTAATTTGTTGCTAGCACAGATAATTTATAAATTCAAAATAAGCAGATGCAATCAACCTGCCATTACATACAAACTAAGTTTATGCTTTTTATAATATTCATTAAATGTTGTTTTGGGTCCCAATGCATTACATTAAATAGTAAATCCTAAAATTTAAAATAAAAGGTGTATATTTTAATAAGTAGCTAATAATTTCACAGATGGCATCATATTTGATTGTATTTATTTTAATTTAAAAACATTCATATATAGTGATGTCCCGAACGGTTTGCCGAACAGTTCGCCACGGACTCATCATTGAGTAAACTTTGACCTTGTACCTCACAGTCAGCAGACACATTCCAGCCAATCCCACCTCCTGGACAGCTCACTAAGAATGCAGCTTCACAATGAATGTAAAATTGATGCTGTCCAGGAGGTGGGAAGGTCTGGGAGGGAGGGTCTGCTGCTGATTGGCTGGAATGTGTCTGCTGACTGTGAGGTACAGGGTCAAAGTTTACTCAATGATGAGTCCGTGGCGAACCGTTCGTGACGAGCCGTTCGTGGCGAGCCGTTCGTGGCGAGCCGTTCGCGAACCATTCGGCGAACCGTTCGGGACATCACTATTCATATAAATCACCTGTTTTTTATAAGCACCACTATTATATTAAAGGGACACTATAGTCACCTAAACAACTTTAGTTTAATGAAGCAGTTTTGGTGTATAGATCATGTCCCATGCAGTCTCACTGCTAAATCCTCTGCCATTTAGGAGTTAAATCACTTTGTTTATGAACCCTAGTCACACCTCCCTGCATGTGGCTTGCACAGTCTTCCTAAACACTTCCTGTAAAGAGTCATCTAAAGTTTATTGCAAGTTCTGTTTGATTTAGATTTTCCTATCCCCTGCTATGTTAATAGCTTGCTAGACCCTGCAAGAGCCTCCTGCAAGTTCAATTTACAGAGAAAGAGATACAATTTTTTAAGGTAAATTGCATCTGATTGAAGGCGAAATCATTTATTTTTTTCATGAAGGCTGTGTCAGTCAGAGCCAGGGGAGGTGTGGCAAGGGCTGCATAAACAGAAACAACGTGATTTAACTTCTAAATGGCAGTAAATTTAACTTTGAAACCTGAGAAGCATGATCTATACACTAAAACTGCTTCATTAAGCTAAAGTTGCTTAGGTGACTTTAGTGTTCCTTTAATATTCTATTTAATTAATTACATTTAAAATATGTGTTTGTGCTTTGTCTATGTCGTAAAGCAAAAATTTAAAATAAAACAATTATAGACCTTAATGATAATTACTTGATACCTTTATTGTAGTCTACATATTGATTTATTAATTACATGTTGGTTTATTAATTAATACAACTTATTAAAAATGGTGAAGTCTCCTGAATGAGCCAATTCTTGGATTCATGGCACCCCAGTCAGTATATCTTCTGTACTCTCCAGGTCTCAGGTAATACTGGCGGCCCCTGTAATTTGGTTCCTCATAGAACATCCAGTAACCATCAAGTACATGGCATGAGTGGATGTCGTGATGATGGAATCTCTCATAGACATTAGGACAATCTTCAGTGAACTCCATCATCTGACCTTGGAAATCTTCCCTCTCATAGACCTTTACACTGAATGAACCTTGGTGCTTTATGAGGATAAAAAAATATGTAATTTATAAATAACACTACAAGAATTTCACAATGTCATGTAAACCATGTAAACATCAAGAATCTATACTGAACATACATTTTTCATTGATATACATTAAAGATGTTTGATATATAAGATGAAAATGTTATTTAATATTTTTTTTAAATGTTATATTTTCAAAAGTGTAACCATTATTAATTGGAATTGGACACTACTGTTTTTTGGACTGCATCTTTAATATTCTGGTAAAGTTCTGGTAAATATACCTGTGGACTAAGACGACAGGATCTAATGGAGTCGTTGAAACCCATCCATTGCTGGAAATTAGGGTATTCTCCCCTGCTAAGGTAATACTGGTGGCCTCTGTAGTTGGGTTGTTCATACAGTATCCAGTTCCCACTTTCCACTCGGATGGAATTGCAGCGATGAAAATATGAGGTCAAATCTGGACATTCAGAGTTGCACTCATAAGAGCGTCCCTGAAAGTTACGATCTTCGTAGAAGACAATCTATGGAAGAAATTACGCATTTGAACAATTTAGACTTTTAAAAATTTATTTTTGTTTTAGTTGCCAGAAAGGCCATTCAAAAAATGCTTCTGGTTTGATTAGTCAATGCTATAGCTTTATAAATACATTAGCTAATATCCTATTCAAAGGAAAACTGTAGGAGTTAAATATACATTTAGGGCAGAATTGGAATATAGACTTTTGTTACATTTTGTTTTTGGCATGAGCTTGCACTCACTCTCACATAATGATAGCAATTTATCACAGTGAAAAGAGACTAGTGAGCACTGAGGATTTCCTGCTTATTGGGTTCCCTAGACTCGTCTGTCCTTTTAACAGATTTCTAGAAAAACAAACTGAAAAATCCTAATCCTGAGTCTAAAAATAATAAATATGTAAAGCATATATTCTGAAAAATTCCTGTTTGATTAGGCTGGAAATATCCAAAAATGGAATAAACACTTTAGGTTTTTTTCTTCTTTCTGGCCTAGATTTTTAAATCCATTGTTCAGTCGTGTCAAGTCACCACAACATATTGTTCAGTAGATAAAGTCTATGTCTTTCACTGTAAACATTTTTTTTTAAATATTACCTGTTTGTGGTTTATTAATAAATATAAAATCTGGCTATTGTTATATGTAATATATCTTTTTACAAATGTTTAAAATAGTCAGATAATCTTACCTTTCCCATTTTCAATGATCTGCTCGAGCAAGTTGTGCTGTTATGCAGGATAAAGGGCCTTTTTATACCATGTATCATGCTGATGCATAAATACATTGAAAGCAATGCTGTGTTGGCTTCTTTCCACCAGTAATTAGAATGTATAGCTATTGTACACTATGTGCTTTTGTATGGCTGTTGTATACTATATGCTTTTGTATAGTTACTGCATTGTTTTCTAAATGCTTTTTTGTTTACCTGCTGGCAACTGCAGTTCAATGTTCTTCTAAGAGAGATCTAGAAAAAATGTGACAGGTCTCCCCTTTCAATGGGGTATTTCTGTTCTGGCCTAGGAAATCAGATTAAAAGTGTAATTTACAAGGTATGATTAAGTTTACTAGTGACATCTAATTTGGTACTAACTGCATACATACATGTTGGTTTATTAGTCAATGACCTCAGTAATAATTAGATCCAATTTTAATTCCAATAAACATTCAGAGCCTTCAGCATGATCACAGTCCAATTTTTTTTTAACTGTTAACAAGCTTATCAAGTTAAAATTGGGCGTATCTCTTATTGGTATTTCCATTATCTCATGATCACAGGATTAATGACAAAGTAAATAGTGATTTTGTGCTTACATCATTTGCTGAAAATGAATGACAGCTACACTTGGAGCTTTGGTTTTGGCAGAATTATGATTCAGCCTAAATTTAGTAGATGGGCAGACAAATTGAATTTTGAGTCTCCACTTACCAATGACTGAGCCATTTTGGTTGCTTTGAGATATGAGGTTAACTATTTACCTGCTGGTGGCACCACACACGTAGCTAGTTGTCCTGAAGTCCCTAGTCACGTCCTAATAAATACAATGACTTGTTAACAGGTCAGCAAACTAGGTCCTTTTCATTTTTAATAGTCATGTCAGTTATTGTTTACTTATATTTTACCATTTTTGAAGAAGAAGAAGAACATATATGATGTCACTTTTAATGCCCCTCATTTAAAGCCCATGGGTGGGAGTGTGGGGGCTGTATAATATCAGGATAACTTCCCTTTGATAATTATGTAGCCCTCACGAGTCAGCAATTATAAAGAACAGGGGGTGATATTAAACTAATAGCCTCCCCTTGCATGCCTCTGGTTGGGCACTAAGGGGAATATTAGGTCCCCCAATTATTAAATTAATACTTCCACCCACCACTTATGGGTAAGGGCTGTTTGTTTTTGCTTTTTTTATTAGTAGCCCCACTTGCTGAACAAAGGGGCATTTTACACCCACAGCATGTTGTGTGTGGAAAGATAAGGTAGATTGTATACCTTCTTTATTCTCATATAAGGGTCCTTGTTTTAATGTGGTGGCTGGCTAGGAAGGACTGGGCATCCAACACATGATTTACCCTTGTGCAGCTAAGATATTCAGTTCAGCCAAATCATTATTCACTACCAAATTTCAGCAGTGAAAGCTTTCACAACAGTAGCCTGGTTGATTAATGCAAATTGAAATGTTGATGGTGGTGATACTGGTAATGTTGATGGAGGTGATATTGGTGGTGACAGTTGTGGTAGTGGTTGTCTGGTGCAACTGTGTCATGGTCTACTTTAGATGAAGTGATTTTATAACAAATAGATATATGGTGGAAAAGATGTACAGTTGCCTGTTTTCTAATCAGTTTCCTATTTTAGTTACTTTGGCTCATCATACTCATAGTCGAGTAACTCTTGGGTCAGAATTAAAAGTGATGTATCAGCTGTAGTGAGGGAAATACTATTGCAAGGGGCTGTGTACCAATGCTATTATGTGTCCCTTGAGGTTTTTTTATATGTTATCCTAAGTTCTAGGGGTCACATAGTACTGCGTGCTGGATCAACTTGTAATCAGGAAGGTGGCTTCCCTAGATATATTGAAGTTGGGGTTAAGGTCACTAATTTAAGCCTCAATTTTATATTTGTGGATAATCTTTTCAAATGATTTTATATTTTGACAAATATTTTAAATTCAATATTGTTCTATATTTTTATGTATTTCTTTATATATTATATATTTTTTGAAATGTTAATATGTTGAAAAAAAAAGCACTCTAAAGCATATCCAAAAATTATTAAATCATTTAAAAAGCTTATAAAAATATTAAATTGAGGACTTGTGGTGAAAGTGCTGAAAAACCATGAAATGCATTGGCTGCTGATTTGGTGTATCACAAGCCTGCTATAATGTTGTCATAAAGTTTTAACCCATAAGTGGAAAATAAAGGAAGAATTAATTTTATAGATGATCGGTCATACTTGTGTATTAGTGAGGATAGGTAGACAGAAGCAGTGTTATGTTTTAGTGATGACTGCTGTGCCTTTTGAATGTGAAATGGTAAAGGTGACCAATTTGGGAAAAACAAAATGTCACAAACCCAACTATTTTGTGAACCGTTGCACTGCATCATTGTATTAAAGTTGCTACACACTTTAAGTATATTTGTGTATTTGTATTAATTAATGTTAATGTGAAGCATGTAGTAGTGAGTGCTTACTTTTCCTGGTCTTTGCATACAATTTCATACATAATGATACCTTTTTTAAAGTATATAATATCTTTTTTTGCTAAATGTAATTTCATAAAGCAATTTAAATTCTTGAAAAAATAAAAGAAAGCATACTACAGAAGCACAAGCAAGTATGTTTAGAGTTTAAAGTAAATAAAACATTACAGGCAAGTGAGGAATCTGTTATCTTTAGCAAAAATAAAAGCACTGATAATGAGTGTCATTAACTGATATATAAAATGTAAAAAACTGTTTCTACGCGCTTACTGTTGATGATTAATCCTACGATAAAAGGTTTTCCAAAATAAAAAATTGCTTCGTCATTATATAATTGTTAGGGTAGTAACTCTACAGCACCCTCTGTTGATTGAATGAAAATGTGTTAATATAGATAACATTTAATGCAATCTACTCCAACCAAAGAAGCAGCTACATGTAAATATATTTAGATGCGTTACTAGAACCCTTAGTGCGAAAATTCTCATTCTCCCCCTGCAATCCCTCCATGTGTCTCATTATCTTCCCCCCAGCCCCTCTATGTGTCTCATTCTCCCAAACCCCTCCATGTGTCTTGTTTCCCCCAAAGCCCCTCCATGTGTCTCATTTCAACCAAGGCCCCTCCATGCATCTTATTTCCTTCCCCCAAGCCCCTCCATGTTTCTCATTATATACCCACAGCCCCCTAATGTGTCTAATTCCCTGCCTGCCAGTCCCTCCATGTGTCCCATTTGCTCCCCCAGCCCGTCCATGTGTATCATTCTCTCCAGCCCTTCATTTGTCCCATTCTCTCCCCCTTCTCTCCTTGAACTGCTGTCATATATCCTTTTCCTCCCGACTCTGCTGTTCCGCTGTGTCCCAATGTTCGGCCAATATTGCAGTGTTGCGTGCGTGAACAATGAAAGGATTACTAATTGATCCCGCACACAGAATTGTATCACACCTAGGACTAAGGATAACGTCTAACCGGACCTTAATGTAAGACTTAATGTATCCAAGGGTTTAAATACCCCTCTTGATATGTTCAATCTGTTCCGGCTATAATTCAAATTACAGTCGGAACAGTTTGAACACATCAAGAGGGGTATTTAAACTCTGAAGATACACCAGTGATACAACACTGAGGAAGGCCCCATCTGGGGCTGAAACGCATTTGCTACCCACTGGACTTCATTAGGGACTTTTTTTCTGGTGGTATTTTATGTTTGTATGCCATTGCATTCACAATGATTTTTATCTTTGGCCATATTTGCGGTGCAATACCATACCTGACTTATTTCTATCTCTTACTACTATTGTATTTTTAATTATATTATATAATAAATTTATACTCAAATATCCCAGCATTGTGAATATTGAGTTCTTCATTGAAGCATGTTGAGAGACAGGCACCCAAGGGCGGTTTCCATAGAGCCTATGTGGCTCCACCTTTGTGAGTTTATTCCACATATATTTTAATCTCTATATACTTTATGCTATGAAGAGCACTATGTATATCTCATTTGTTTTACAGGAACTACATTATTTATACTTGTAATAGGTGGTATATTGGTACATTACACCTGTTTTGTGTATGTGAATCTATTCTTATTTCTTTATTATTTGGTCTTTAGGTGTTAAGGGATTACACCTTTTTCACACCCACGTATATTGTAAATTATATATTTGAAGCACCTACAAAACCATTTATATATATTTCTTTATTAATGTATCCAAGAATAGTCAGAACACTTGCCGAAGTCAGGGATAGAGAATCAGACACAGCAATGAGAAAAAGCCAAAAGTCAAGGATTCCAGAAATCAGGGAAGTCAGAATGAAGCCAAAGTCAAATACCCAAAAAATCAAGAACGCACTCTCGGATTAACATCAGGCAGAAACCACAACAGGGCAATGAGAGAATGTAAAACATAAATTTAAATAACCCTCCCGTTATTCCGATTGGGTGTAATTTTGCCCAAAAAATGTGCGTGAGTGATGATGTCATGCTTACGCCGACGTCATCCTCAATGTGGACGGTCATGGGGCTTATAAGGTGGCATAGATCCGCAGTGACCGGCATCCCTAGACATGCTGGGTTTATCAGATATCCGGGCACATGGCTGTAGCTGGGCACAACTATACCTGTCAGGACAGTAAATACCATTAAACACATTACTATAAGCGGATGAATTCGCTACAAACAGCTAGGGGGCGTGCACCTTCTTTGTCTTTGTCCCTAGAGGGAAACTTACCTATTTTATTTCTGGGCTAAGAACTCCATTTATAACTATTCACATATTACCCTAATTGGTTCCCTAGCCTACAACTCACATTTAGCCCTATTTATACCTCCCTTTGACATCACTTCCTTGCCCTGTCATCTTTGTAGCCCAAGAGTGTGTTTCTTTGGCTTAGACTTTTCTGGTATCTGACTTTGGATTTGCTCATAGCTTATCTATTCTTCTGGTATCCTTGACCCTTGGCTTTGCTCTACATTTATATTTCCATCTCCAAACCTGACCTTGTGCACCCCGAACTCTGCAGACCACAAGGTGTGACCACCCCTTTAAGAGATCTGGCTGGATTTGAACTCACAGCTCCAGCATCAAAGTCAGGTTCTCTACCTTGCTTCAGTATCTACCAGTATTTGTCTGCTTTCTGACTCCTTGTCAGAAAAGCCTGCTCTGTCTGAGGCCTAGTATCCGGTTGTTTTGTTTGTCTGGTTTTTCCTTCCGGATCTTTGTTACTCTGCTGACTCATTTCCTGGACTCTGACCTATGCCTGCCTTACTGACTACGATACTCCGCTACCAGCCCTGACTTCTGCTTTTCATCTGACCCTGCCTTTGGATTACCCCTTCATCTATACTGCGCTTTGGTTTTTGCCTTCTCCTTGTGCCATCTCCTGCAACTGGGCTCCAACTCCTGGTAAACAGTGACACCTTGGCCTGTCTGACTATTTTATACTTCTAGCTGTACTCATATATACTTTAAGTCCGGCCACTCTAAGGCCCTGTAATATGTCTTGGTTTGTGTATCGGTGAAGAGCTCTTTCGTTTGTGTGTTAGGGTGATTGACCTTGACACCTAGATGAAATGATAGGATTTCTGGTGCTTGTTTGTTATGCGCGTGGCAGCTTGAACTTCCCAAGCAAGAGTATCTTCCTTCTGTGGTTATTTTGGGTAACAAGGGAAATGCAGGGATGCAGTGCCTTTAGTAATATCCTCCAATCAACATGGGGATGGAACACTGTAGGGAGTAAGAGGAGAAAATGGAATATAGTGTAGTATTTAGGTAACTGGTAATTATAAATAAAACAAAATACACTTACAAATTTCTGGAGCCTATATTCGGCTCCAGATATATGCGCCTGGATGGTACAATCCCCGTCTGTGGATATGTTAGTGGTCTTATTAGTATGTTGAGAGGCGTCTTCAGCAGTTGTAAAAATCTTTGTTCATTGCACCACAGTGTAGCAGTCAGGAATCATTGGTATTCAAAATGCAATTAAATGCAGAATCTAGTGGTCTTTGTATTTTTAAAATAAAAGAAAGGGATAAAAGGAGGTGTACTCACAAAAGGAGAGAAATGCCAGGGATTGCTAAACCCTATTAATCTTAGGATTCCCCACCAAGGAAATCACTGAGCTAATCCTCCATTTAAAATCTTCAAAGGTAAATTAAAAATTTCCAAATTTCTATAACATGACTGGTTTTATTAGAAAATAATTAATAAAACCAAATACAGCATAAAAAACACTAACACGTTTCACCAAAAGTAAGGATTTTTCAAAGTGTTACAGTGTCTTGGACCTATCCTGTTTAAATAGCATAACAATTTTTTTTTAAATGATCAGTTGATGTCATCAGTCATGTAACTAACATTCAATTAGCATAAAAATTATATAAAAATATAATATGCAATAGAAAGAAGAGGGGGTTTAATCATGTATGTAAACAACATAACTGTAAAACAAAAATCCCTTAATAAAATATAAAAGTATTCAAAAAATGTGTAGATAGCTTCAAGCACAGTATAAACTGAAAGCACCAATATGGCCACCACCAGCAAAAACATTGTGATCGGCGCGGTCATAGAATTAAATCAAAAGGGGAGGGTGGGATGTGGAAGTAGAGTGGGGAGGTGGAGGGAACCACTTCCCTCCTAAAACGAGCATTGTAAGTGACATTTTCATACACCTAAATATGGCGTCATGACCACACCACATAATTGGCACAGACCACAACGTCATAAAAACATAGGATCGCTGGGTAGGGAGAGAGGGGAAGGACTAGTTTGAAGGGGGAGTGTCTGAAATGCAGCTAACACTCCCTGAGTGTACTGGCTAAGCCTGAATGGGAGGGTATAAATCCCTTCCATATATGAACACTAAGGATTGTGGGGCTTGTAGTAGAGCTTGCATATATTGGTATATTTATAGATATAGAACCAGATAAAGGGGAGCACATATAGCATAAGAAAGTAGCATAATAGCATAATTGTAATGTGTAATTTTCTGAACATAAAAATTGTGAGTATAAAAAGATAAATATGTAAAAAAACAAAAAGATATAACAAATATGGACATATAAATAAGACATATAGGGTAAAATAAATAAAAGAACACGTGGTTACAAAAGGTTTTTTTTTTTTTTTTATTAAAAAGATCAAAATCAACATTTAACCCCTGAGGTGCTAAAGTGTTCAAGTTTAAAGACCCAGCACATCCCTTTTTTGCCCAATAGTTTAGAGAGGTTTTCACCTTTCTATAGCGCAGAATTGTAAGCATGTTTTGACACAGTGGTTTATAAAACCTTTTGTAATGTTTCTGCAGTGCTCAGCAATGCAAATTTTGAGGCATGTTGGTCATGCCTACATATTGTAATTTACAAATACATTCTAATAAATAAATAACTTTTTTGGAATGGCAAGTTTTGAAACGGTTTATGCTAAATTCCTGAGGTGAATGTTTAGATTTAAAATGAGATATTTTAACATTTTCATTATTAGTACTTCTACATGATAAGCAGGTTTTGCATTTTATAAAATCCTTGTTGACTAAAAGAGAATTTGTTGGAGCTAAGCTTCTTAGTGCAGTTTTTAGTAAAACACATTCTAAGGTTTGGAACTCTAAAAACAATTTCGGGTTTATCTGGTAAAATGTTCTTTAAAATGCCATCTTCTCTTAAAATATTCTATTGTTATCATTTAATAAGGATAAAAATGCCATAAAGGTCATTGTTAGTACTTTTACAACCTCTGAAGATGCCTCTCAACATACAAATTAGACCACCAACATATTCATAGACAGGGGATTGTCTCATTCAAGCGCATATATCTTCAGCAGAATATAAGCTCCAGAAAATTGTAAGTGCATTTTGTTTTGTTTATAATCACCGGTTACCTAAATACTACACTATTTTCAGTTTTCTCCTCTTATTCCCTATATTGCTCCTTCCCTATCTGGATTTGAGGATATTACTGAAGGCGCTGCTTCCTTGCATTTCCCTTGTGACCTTGACACCTGCACACCGCCACGGTACCCATCTGACAGGAAGTGCACTTTTTGTCACACCGCTCAGCCACTCTACATACAGCAACAGGAGGAGAGTAGCACAGCTCTCCCCTCATGCTGGTAACCGGGCAACTGTGGGCCCCGGGCCAGTGCGGCTGTTCACTGGCCCTGAATGTGTGCCTGCGGCCCACGGTCGCAGGGGTCACAGCTGTGGCAGGGTTTCCTGGAGTTACTGCTCCAATCACAGCAGCAACCTCGTGACCATGGTAGATACGACACTGTTTGAAAGTGTTACTGGTATTATATATTTGCTGTATTAAGTATGAAAGCTTGCTACCCAGTGGTATGTATATTTGTGTTTAAATGTTTACCATATAAATGCTTATTGTAGAAGTTCCCAGGAACTGTGTTTCCTGTCTGTTTTGTTTTCCTAGAAATTCCAGTGACAGAATTTTCACACCTGCTTTCTGGCTACACTATTCTCTGGTATAAGGGACTTCAAAGAAAAGGCTGGGTTCACCTGAGAGCTAAAAGCATCTTTTCAAAGAGGGTGGCAAAACATAGGCCTGAGAGCTGCAAGTGCCTTGGTAAAGGCTGTAGTCGGAGGTAGCACAGGCAGAGGAGTCGTTATCTTCCTGGGAAAGGGAAAGGCAGAGAGGATGGGAGAAGGAGGACAGGCAGAGGGGCAATACCTGCCTGGGAAGACAAGCCCCTCTTGAGGCAAGCTCAGCTTGGTTTAATATAGCTGCTGACTTGATCCTGGTCTCAGGAATGGTGAAATTAAATGTATGCATCTTCATTTTTTATTTAAATATTTAGTTAATTCAGATCGCTACCTTCTTTTTACTATACTTTTTAATAATCATTGACACTAAAGGCACCCAAACCACTTCAGCTCAATTATCTCATTGGATATAATCCTTACCTATGAGAAGCATCAAATTGGATGCACACGGTGCTCATGTTCCTATTCCTAATGCTAGAGTGTTTAATAATGTAATAACATTTTACAATTGTTTTTTGATAAAATAAAGGTATACCAGTACCGTAGAATTAGATAAATATTGCACAAAATGATAACTGTTTAATTTGTTTATTGAATTATAAATAACATGTAATTTCATTAATTTATATAACATATTAGAAATGGTGGAGTCTCCTGAATGAGCCAATTCTTGGGTTCATGGCACCCCAGTCAGAATATCTTCTGTACTCTCCAGATTTCAGGTAATACTGTCGGCCCCTAAAATTTGGGTCCTCATAGAACATCCAGTAACCATCAAGCACCTGGCAGGAGTTGATGTCATGGTAATGGAATCTTTCATGAGTATTAGGACAATCTTCAGTGAACTCCATCATCTGACCTCTGAAATCATCCCTCTCATAGACCTTCACTCTGAATGATCCATGGTGCTTTATGAGATTAAAAAATATTTATAATTCACGGATAGTATGACAAAGTCTTGCATAATTTCATGTGAATATCTAGAACCTACACCGAGAGTGTAATTTTGACACTGACCCTCTTGTGGCCATGAAAGTAAGTGCTGACTTAGTTGATTAAGAAAACATTACATACATACATTTAAAATGTTTTTCAAAAAAACAAGGTTATAATTTCAAAAGTTATACCTTTATTAATCATAGATTGGAACCAAGAATGCTCTTTTGGGGGTGCATCTTTAAAAATATTTTTGTAAAATTCTTAACTGCTCTGGTAAAAGTATTTACCTGTGGGCTAACACGACAAGATCTGATGGAATCATTGAAACCCATCCATTTCTGGAAATTAGGATATTCTCCCCTGCTAAGGTAATACTGGTGTCCTCTATAGTTTGGGTGCTCATACAGGATCCAGTTTCCACTTTCCACTCGGATGGAATTGCAACGATTAAAATATGAGGTCAAATCTTGACACTCAGAGCTGCACTCATAAGAGCGTCCCTGAAAGTTACGATCCTCGTAGAAGACAATCTATGAATGGAATTACACATTAGAATATATATATAAATTTTAATATATATTATACATTTTTTTTAGTTGCCAGCAGTGCATCAAACATAATAAATAACAAGGATCACAAGGGCTCGACTATTACACAAATGTATATATGATATAATCACTAAAGCTATGACGATGGGTTTAATTCTGGGGCTTTGGATTTACAATTATAACATGAAAAGCCCATTGTGCTGTTTATTGCCAAATATAATGTAATGCTGATTTGATTACTGTATATATTAGGTTATAAAGTAATGTATTCTTCTTTTGTTTTGCAGCGCATTCATCTATTTCCATACTCGTGTCCTTTGGCAGGTACCAAGAGAAAAAGAGGTTGGGACAGGGAGTGAGACACATCTGGGGCATAGCAGTAATTTAAATCATATTACTGAAATGCCATGCTCCTATTATCCCCCCTTACTGCAGCCAGCATTATATTAGCTATCTAATGTCCGTTAAGTTTGAGATTGGTATACTCAATATTACCAATCTCAAACTAAGTTCCAGGGCTAATTTCATGATTTATCCCAGTGGAAAGTGAAAGTTAAAGTTAATAGTGAACTTCTTTAGTAATAAACTGCAGATAGATGAAAAAAAAAAAAAGGTTTCTTTTAAACTGAACCTAGATATAGGTACAGAAAGAAGTAAGAATAGTATTTTTTTTTCTGTTATTTTACCTACATTTTTTAACTTTTTATCCACTCACATCTTCTCGCAATTTTGTCAATACTTTGTAGCATGTTGCAACTCCTCACGAGCAGTTCCTGACCGAGAAGTTTCACAAGTCAATAAGTAGTCACTAGTGGCTCCCATTACCTCTAGCTTGGAGTAAAGTGGTTAAAGACAGCTAAATCTCACCTGTCACTACTGTTCATAAAGAAGCTAGTGTGAATTTACTGGTATGTGTTTCTTTGCTTTACCAGCAAGAGACTAATATAAGACTGGTTGATACCTGCCGCAGCAGCTGCTATTAGTGAAAGTGTTACTAAAATTTAGCTACAAGGCTAGAAATATTATGGCAATTTTTAGCCACTTCAGACTATCAGCTGTTAATAGTGACAGTTAATGGCAGCCATTTTACTATGTCCCTATGTTTTTATTGAAAGCATGTCTTTGAAATATTAACTCTTTGTTTGTAATTTAACAAATAATTCCTCTGCAGTAAGATATTAATCATTTTGTGACATAATCTTACCTTTCCCATTTTCAGTACTGATCCACTGTCCGTTGATATGGTCAAGCAAGTTGTGGTGATATTTAGGACAGAGGGCCTTTATATACCATCTCTAAGTCTATTGCTGATGCTTACATACATTGAAGGCAATGCTGAGCTGTTTTCTTTCTACCAATAAGTAGAATGTAAAGCTATTGTATGGTTTATTGTGTTTGAGAAAGGTCTGTATTTCCATTTCATGTGTGTGTGCTTGCTGGCACCTGCATTCCATGAATCCTAGAAAGATCTACACACAACATTCTGACAGTGCTTTTTTTGTAAATTAAAAACTTTCTATACTAACACGTGGCAGTTTATGTTAAGGTTTCTATAACAAAAAAATATGTTTTTCAGTTTACTATCAACATGTGAGTAAACACTGAAGTATATTGTAGACTTGGAGATTAGTTTTAGACCGAACTGCAGTTTGTACAAATTCAGACCTATGGAATGATTGTAAACATTTCTATTTCCAAACTGTCATGTTCCAAAATCTAAAGGAAAGCCTGAATATGCTCATTTCCATTCCTGGCACCAGAAAAAATAGGTTTGGAATGAAGGAGAGGATATTTTCTTTGTTTTTCTTTTATGGGTTCGGGCAAATAGGCAGCTTAATATAACAAGTCAACAGGTCTGCCCAATCATGTGGTTTGGATCTCCTTTCCAATCAAGAGGTAGTAAAAAAAAAGATCTATAAATGTTGAATGTATTCACAGATCAAGTGAAGTGACCAGTGCAAGAGGAAAAAAACAAAGCAATCATACAACTATATTTTCAAGCAGGATTCCTCTAGACACTTTGACTTCAGATACTTAGGGACACAGAACAGCAGTGAGACAGTCTGTTTACGCTTGCTGTGGGAGGTAGGAAGGTGATTGATTCTAGTGTGAAACTAGCTTTAGCTTTAGTTTTATGCTGTACCTAGCATCTATAACTACCAGAAGCACTAGGGAAAATGTTGGGGGCTGTTTTACCAATGTACAGTTCATAAAAGTTATCTTTTTTGTCGGCTGTCCAGAGAAAAGAAAATCTTCTATTTGGGACCGTGGTGTGAGGAATAAAAATAATTTTGCCAAGCCTAGGTCATTGATTCATGTGTGTGACTAGCTTTAGCTTTAAAAACTGTGCTGCATGTAGATCTACTAATAATGCAGACACTAAAATTAACCAGACTTTAGTAAAATCTGAGCTTAAAGGATCTTATCAACTGCAAATCAAAAATGTGATATACCTTTTAGAGTGCTCCTGTGTTCTCCAGTACATAGAAATGAGCAAAAGATGTCTAAAAACAAGAATTGGAAAGCACCTCTGAAATATCCCAAAAGGCTTAATCAACCCCTCTCTCTGTAAACACTCCCTATCTCATAATAGAGACCCCAATATGCTAAAGTTTAGCAGTATCTAAAATGCAATAAACCCTGGAGAAGAGGTGATATGACCAAAATACTGAGTAAAAAAGAGACTGAGTTCTTAATTAAAAATAAATACATTAAAAAAAAAAAAAAAAAAAACAAGTCCAAGATGTCTTAAATGCAGACATCGATTTGTTTAATTTTGAGTGAATCTTAAATACATATATCATTTTGTCTTTTACTCATTAGAGGCAGCCCCTGGTGTACTTGTTCAGTGTTTTTATTTTTTTTAGGTTTTTTAAATTATTATTTTTTTTACGCAGGTTTTTGTCATTTTTCTTTATTTCTATTACAATTGCCCTCGATCACATGGCTGCCGAGTAATTATTTGCGAGCATGGGGTCACTTATTGTTATCTTTTTATCCCTTTGTCACACTTTATTGGTTTGGCATTTCTGTTTTTATGTTACTTCCCCTTTTGTTTATATATATATTTATTCTTGCTAATATTTTTTTTTTGCAATTACATTGTCTTGATTGTCTTTGGTCTGATCATCTGACTGCACCTAAGTGTTTCTGTTTCTCCTCTTCTAGGGCATTTTACAATCTGCCATAATAGCTTTATTAACAGTATAGCTTTATTATCAGTAGATTTTATTCTACTATTGCTTATGTGCTTATATTCAGTACCGTTGGGTCCAATCACGTGACTGCATTCAGTTCTTTCTTATGTTTAACTTACATGTCCCATCATTTACCGTGAATTGTTAGTTCCAATCATGTGACTGCACTCTTTAGTCATTATTATTTTAGAAACATAGAATGTGATGGCAGATAAGAACAATTCGGCAAGTTTCTAAATACTTTCATTAGTCCCTGGCCTTATCTTATAGTTAGGATAGCCTAATGCCTAAATCACGCATGCTTAAACTCCTTTACTGTGTTAACCTCTACCACTTCAGCTGGAAGGCTATTCCATGCATCCACTACCCTCTCAGTAAAGTAATACTTCCTGAAATTATTTTTAAACCTTTACCCCTCTAATATAAGACTATGTCCTCTTGCTGTGGTAGTTTTTCTTCTTTTAAATATAGTCTCCTCCTTTACTGTGTTGATCCCCTTTATGTATTTAAATGTTTCTATCATATCCCCCCTGTCTCGTCTTTCCTCCAAGCTATACATGTTAAGTTCCTTTAACCTTTCCTGGTAAGTTTTATCCTACAATCCATTATTATTGATCCTTGTCATTATTATTAATCCTTTGCATGTGATCAAAGTTGCTATCACTTAACTATGATGAATTTTACCCAGTAAAAGCCCAAACTCCTTCTTAGGTCCTAAGAGTCCCAGTCCTGCAGTTTGAAGCTTCACAACTTTTCATCTAGCCAAAGCAGGAGTGGGCCGCGGTGGCCATGGGTCGAGGCCGGCAGGGGAGGTCCCAGGATCTCCCCTGCACTCTCCTAGCACCGGCCCCGCCGTTTGCCACGAAGGGCCGGTGGGGAGATCAAAGATCTCCCTCACCGGCCCAAATGCGGCCGCAGGCGGGGAGGGAGACAGACCCGGCGGAGCTCTATCTTGCAGCTCCGCCGGGTTCCTCTCGCGAGATCCGGCGCATTGCCATGGCAACGACCGGATCTCGCGAGAGTGAACTCTAGCCTCACAGGCTAGAGTTCATTCACCCACGAGGACAACCAGGGAACACCGCCACCCAGTCCCAGCGTGCCGGTCCCCCCCCTCCCAGGCTAAAGGTAAGAAGGGAGGGGGGGGACATAATGCCTGTTTTTTGTTTATTTACCCCCCTACACACACACAATAACATTTATACAGCACACATACTCTCACACCCATCAACACAGCACTCTCTCACACAGCACTCTCACACCCATCACACACAGCACTCTCACACCCATCACACACAGCACTCTCTCACACAGCACTCTCACACCCATCACTCTCACTCTCACAGAGCACTCTTACACAGCACTTTCACACACACAGCACTCTCACACACACAGCACTCTCTCACAGCACTCTCACACCCATCACACACAGCACTCTCACACAGCACTCTCACACCCATCACTCACACACAGCACTCTCACACACATCACACACACGGCACTCTCACACACACGGCACTCTCACACACACACTGCACCCCTCACACACACACATACTGCACCCCTCACATACACACAGAACCCCCCCCAACACACTGCACCACACGCATACACAATACTTCCAAATATATATATATATATACACACACTACACTCTTAACATACACACTCTGGATCCCCTATACACACTAGATTCCTTGTAAGCAAACACATACTACACCCCTAAACACACACACACACTACAGCCTGTATGCACACACTTACTATATCCCCAATACATACATTCTCTACAGCCCATAGCCACATATGCATCACATTACACCATAAACACAACACAACTAAAACCGACCTTATTACACAATACCACACCACGACCACACACGCAATACCACAAGCAGGCTCCAAACACATGCACAATACTCTTTCCTGGCCCTTTTGTCTCCTGGTATCCATTTATAGAGACACCAGAGACAAGTTGCAAGGAAACACAGTGCAAGCATGTTATTAAATTAGCTTGCACTGTGCAGAACAAATACAGGACTTTTTTCACATGCTATAGCTCTTCAGCAGAGCTCTGCGCATGGTCTGCCCTGGAAGAGCATTGAACCAACATGCTCACTTTGAGAGGAGGCGTGTTTGACAAAACACACCTCCTCTGCCCCGCCCCCTTTTTAGTGGGCCGCTGTGTTAAAAAAATGCCGGGCCGAATTTTTCTCCCAGTCTGGCCCTGGTTATAACTATTAGTAACAGGCTGCTCTGTGTCAGAAATGTCCCATCCCTTTGGGCAACACTGGTTTAATATATGTTAATTATTTATTTGAGTATTAACCTTGCTTAGTCAGCCCTCAGGCAGCCACAAGGACTATTGAAAGAGAGAAAAAAATTGCACTGCGTTATTGTGTTAAAAATGATTACACTCTCTAATCTACTATATTTGTCTACTCTATATTTTAAATTAATATTAATATAAAGCTTGTAGTACAGAGAACTTGCTTTTCCTTTGGTTTGCATTATTTTTCAAAGATAGAAACATAGAAACATAGAATGTGACGGCAGATAAGAACCATTTTGCCCATCTAGTCTGCCCAATTTTTTAAATACCTTCATTAGTCCCTGGCCTTATCTTATACTTAGGATAGCCTTATACATATCCCATGCATGCTTAAACTCCTATACTGTGTAAACCTCTACCACTTCAGCTGGAAGGCTATTTCATGCATCAACTACCCTCTCAGTAAATTAATACTTCCTGATATTATTGTTTAACCTTTGCCCCTCTAATTTAAGACTATGTCCTCTTTTTGTGGTAGTTTTTCTTCTTTTAAATATAGTCTCATCCTTTACGGTGTTGATTCCCTTTATGTATTTAAATGTTTCTATCATATCCCCCCTGTCTCGTCTTTCCTCCAAGCTATACATGTTAAGTTCCTTTAACCTTTCCTTGTAAGTTATATCCTTCAATACATGAACAAGTTTAGTAGCCCTTCTCTGAACTCTCTCTAAAATATCAATATCCTTCTGGAGATACGGTCTCCAGTACTGCGTACAATACTCCAAGTGAGGTCTCACCAGTGTTCTGTACAATGGCATGAGCACTTCCCTCTTTCTACTGCTAATACCT